ATATTTCGTAAATATGTGTAGCCCGCCAATCCCCAGTGGGGCCGAGTGGTGGACTATGCCCATTTTTAGGCTGTAATTTTACATTTTTTTTACTTAAACTTTGCAATTTTTCTTACGTGCAGAGACTAGCCTTAAACAAGGCAATAACATGTCAAAACTAATATATAAAAGTACAAGCACTTCGCCCGCGACGTCTTCCGCGAAACTTGTGATAGCTCGGCTAATTTGCATGATATAAATATAGTTTATATACTATAACTTTCTCCGAAACTTATAGTTTAAGTATTATTCTGATTGATTCCGAAGTTTTCGCAGTAAAATCGAACAAAAACTGTATCTATATAGTATCTATATAAACTGTTACTGCATAGACAACAAATAAACATACGTTCCAAAGCCAAACACTAAATTACATTTCATTATTTTGTTAATAAGTAAACTCAGTTAAAGTAAACTAAGTTTTTCGACAACGCCCTTCATCCATTAATTATCATTAATTAGAATTCGTGTTCAGAAGCTTAAATTTCTAGACTACCATGCATGGATTTGCCTTCTGAAGCCCAGATTAGCAATAGATAATGATGTAAGAAATAGCTGGTAATGTTGTCGTATGACCGTTAAAACACTCGTAGAATAAATTAACGCAGGCTATATGGTGTGAGGCATACTGTTCGAATTAATTGATACCACTGTGTTAAGGCAAACGGCTCATGGTCTAGAAAATAAATTGTGTAACACTACAGATTCACAATGTTTCTTATTTAGATTTTAAGTATGTTTAATAATAATGTCATAATATGTACTTGTGAGAAATAACAGCGATTCAAATGTTAAAAGAGAACTTAAAAGAAACCGTGAAATTTATACGAAAGTAAACTAACCCAATGAAACTTTGGTGACCGGGACGCTATTTTAAAATCAATACATAGTATAAAACAATGATGCAGTTTTATTTAATAGATAGAGTGATTCAAGAGGAAGGTTAATTTGTATTATTCATGCATAATATAGTAGAGAAACAATGATAATTTTAGAGGTTTCTAATGCGATGTCGAAAATAAACATTCCGCATATTTGAATTCATTTATGCACTATGATCGGATAAAGTTATTAAATACGTTGTAAAGTATAAGTCTACCATGTCTTTTAAGAAATATATCTTCAAAACATGTTTATAGTTGCCATCAGTATGATTATAATGAACAAATTTTGCCCTTATCTATTTTGTTCAGTTAAGATCTATAATAAACTTATAATCGTAGGATTAATCAAAAAACAAAGTTTTAAATGATGTTGAATGATTGAAGGTTGCATAAACTACATAGAAGATTTTTTTTAAAAGAAACAAGTTTTTGAACTTGTGTACAAACAGACAAATACTATTAAGTAAAAAAACCCAAAAAGGGTCAAAATTAGGTTTACATTCAAAGTGCTTTTAGTAAACGTTTGAAAAACAATTAAAATATTCAAAAATATGAGAGACTCATTTAAATGTATATTTACACCCACGTTGCCTAAGTGATTACGAAAGTAGCCTTAAATATCTTCTACAAGTACCTGATGACGTAGCATGTTCACGTAATCACTGACCGCATAATATTTATAGATTTAGACCACCTTTGAACTTACATGTCCATCATTGGTAATTAGTTAACCTTTTATTGGTTTTATTTATTTTAGCTTAAAACAGCTTTGGGATCGCCATATTGTCGTAAGTGACACTAAAAATTAATCTCAAAGTTAAAAGTTATCGGATTATAATTCTTGCGAAATAAAGAAAATATGTTCTTAATCATTCACTCGGTTACACTCAGCATTTTGTGAAGTCAACGTAATAGTTATAGCAAATTTGCCATCGATCATCAATGGAAATTTAATCATGCTCGTCTATGGAATTCAAACCCGTGACCTGAGATATTCGTAACTTATCAACAATCAATCAATCATCAGTCACTATGCCAACGCTTTGTTATATTGATATGTTGTAACTATAAGATGTATATTTTATGTGTGCAGAAATATATATGTTTCAATAGCAATATATCCCAGCCTATCTCTTATGAACTGAGTAATAACACGAGTAACCAATATTTCGTGAACCTAAATAATTACAGCTTTTAACTGTTACGTTGGTCTGTGGATCTCTAATTAAAAACTATTTACACTACGCTAAGTATGCGCGTGAGAACGGTGACCGTTGCTTAGTTTACATTTCTTTGGAATACTGTGGTACAGGCTAGAACTTGATGAATCTTTATGCCAAACACACCTAAATATAATACTAATATAATACATTTTTGTTACGTTTTGACACTAAACATTTTTTTAAACTTATATATTCCTAAAATATCTTACAGGAATTTAAATATATAAAAAAATATTCATCTTAAAGAAACTTAATGCGAATATTTTTCACGGAAAAGACATCAACGCGCTAATAAACTTTATTTCTTAATACTTCGAAATACAAACGGTAAATTTTAATCGATAAAGACATCAATGAGCTTCGAAATTGTATATCTAAAAACTTTACGTAATTCTAATGGTATTCGTGTTATGTTTAATTAAAGACTATTTTTAGAAATATCTATTAATAATGAAAATGTACGTATGTAACTAACTTTAACGCCACCTATTAAATATTGTATAAAGCAAACGTATTTTCTTATTGATCTACTCCAATCCTTGTTACTGTAAAGTTGTAAACTTTTCCGTTAGATGGGGCTTTCGTTCTTCCATTGATAGTTCACGCTACAGTTTTTCTTGGTATGTCAATAGGGGTTATATCAATTTATACATCAAGACAATCCACAAAATAATTAATGAATTATAAAATACAAAAACAAACACCAAATTAAAAAGGAAACATATTACTTGTCTCTTGCAAACTTGAAACGATTTTCAAAGAACTCCATCTTATTCTTATTGCAACTACATCTTATTTTAATTGTAACACACTCAGCTAAAATATTGTAAAAGTGTTTCAATTAACATCACTGCTAAAAAACTTTTTAATTATGTTTTGCCGACACTATATTGCAATTTATCCAAAGGTGACAATTACACTATATGCAACGCTTAGGTATGAACACACAGTAAGCGTAAGAATTGTCTTTCATCTTTGATTAGCTGCGATTGTTGTACAATTTGAAATTTGATAAATATATCAATTTGATATTTATCGTTTGACAAGTTATACGGCAATGATGAAGAACAATTAGCACCATCTGAATAGGTGTACGGTTATAGTATATTAGGAGTATTCTAGAAGTATATATGAGGAAAGATGTTTTATTTAAAATTAATTCAACTAAAAAGCACTTCTGATGTAGAACTTGAAAAAGCAAATGTTCTTGAATTGAAATTTTAACTAAATTATATAACCCAATGCTTCTCAAACACAATAAAAAGTGGCGCGGATGAAGTCACGGCAAGGAAATGGACAGTGTTGTCCAACTGTACGCAACTTGAACAACTGGATTTCTATATCAGCATTCGATTTCTAAGTTCGCTGCTAATTAAGGTAGTTCCAGTATAAGCGGCAGTATTGTGCCGTTTGAACAAAGTTCTTTATGAACAGTGCAAAATTTTATTGTTTTGATTAAAATATCTAGCTGTTTTGAAACTATTATATCATTTCGTACTTAAGATGTATAACAGGTCCCTTGCTATGTAATTTTGATTTTTATAAGTAATTAAAATATACAGTTATAAAAAATGTGTATCCATTGACAGTTTTTAATGGAGATTATCTTAAAAATGCAGTCACTAAGTGATTATTATCCACTAGCTACTATTGTATTAAATGGGTAAAAATAAGTCAAATATATGTAATTAAAATACCGTGTACAAATCGCGTTCTGGAAAAAAGTAACCAGTAAATTAGAGCAACTATCGATGCGCGAAATTTTACATAACCCACTTACTTGACTTGGCAAGAAATAATTGCATTTTGTAAGAGTACAGTTATTGATTGATTGTTAAATTTTAATATCCATCACACATGCACACGTTACGACATTTAGTTTTTTATTTACCTTATTAATTCTGAATAATTATTGCAAAGATAAAATGATATTTACTTTTTCCACTATTATCATACTGATGAAATAATCATTGAATATTTAAATTTAAATGTTCACTCCATTAGAAAAACGTCGAAGATCGGTAGACGAGCTAGAAATAATTATATAATCTTTACCAAGAATTCGGAAGTGAACGCAGTTGACTTACATTTGATCTACATATTTTGTCAACCGTAACGTCTCTTCTTTTTTTGTTTACTCGAAGCACCTCAGTCCGCGTTACGCAATGTTATCCGGATACAGACGCAAATAATGGCATCAAATCAGTCTAATGATGTAACATTTTAAACTCCTCCTTCACTTTCCTGCGTGCGAAATTAAAGATATGGCACGTGTTGATTACTTAAGTTTCTATATCACGTTTCCTCTGTTTGCGGCAACTTTCTTCCATTGCACAGTATAGCGTTTGAAAGTTACTTGATTATTCGTGTATTGGGTTTCCTAAGAACCATTGAAGTAAGCTTATTTCTTTCTTCTTTCTTTACTCTTACTCCAAATAATAAAAAAAATCTATTTATAGTTATCTTTTTATTCATAACAAACACTTAGTAACAAACATAGTAACAATAATAAATAGGCTATCTTACTTAAAACAGCGTATATACAGAAATTCACTGCCTATTCACACTCAACGTCGATTGTGTAATTTAATATTAGTACTGATTTACCAAAAACATAGTTATAGTAATAATACAGGTATTCTTTATAGTTTCTATCGGTAATGAGCGAAAAGTACACACACATAAATAATGCTACAAACAAGTGGAGCGCTTTCGCTTCAATTCAGTTTTACTTTTACAACCTTTCGTCTAGACCGTGACCTACATACCAGCCTAAAGCTGTTTATTTAATACATATTTACACGAACAAGAAGTCAGATTAAATCTTGTATCAGCCTTAGAGGGAAAACAGTTAATGATTGCGGGGCTTAAGCTCTTCACTGTACTTAATTGTATTGTATGAGGTTTCACTGTACGCGCCATGTGCATCCTTTGGCGATCCGTAACGGGAACCAGAGCCGCCGAAGCTGTATTTAGGGCCTGATGAATAAGAACTCAGCGAACCGTGACCGGAGGAAGGTCCTCGGTAAGAAGAGCCGCTACCGAAACTGCTAGGCAGCGAGTGTTTCGAAGATGTAACGTAATATTGAGGGCTATTAGAAGACGCCTGTGCGTAAGAACTTGATGGCAAACCGTAAGTTGTTGCAGGAGGAGATCCCAAATGACCACCAGAGGAGAAAGCAGCAATTGATTCCAGAGATCCAAATCCTTCAGATTTAGCGGGTAAGTATGACGGTGCGATATATTTCGATGAGCTACCACCGAAATTACCTAAAGAGCCTCCAAAACTTGCACCTTGACCAGCAGAACTAAGTGTAAAACCTCCATGAGGACCCGATGCCAAGTGAGAGCCGCTGAAAGATGGTGCAGCGTATGATCCAGAGATTCCGGATAGCCCATGGCCACCATCGCTCTGAACGGAAGCACCCAAGAAAGCAGAGGGCTTGAAAGATGTTTTTCCAGGAGCACCATAACCTCCGCTTAAAGTGCTATAGTGCCCACCTAGTGCGTGACCGGAATTACCTAAAGCAAATCCAGATAAAGAGTGTCCACCGTTCCCAAAGGAAATCGATCCGGAATCGCCAATGCCATGGCTAGAACTTGGACCTCCATAAGATAACGATGGCTGATTAGAGTGGGATTCAGACGGAGTAAACAACACGGGGCCGGTAGAGCTGTAGGAGCTGAGACCCTTCGTGCCTGCCGCGTATGATGGAACTTGTTGTTGTGCTTGTTCAAAGAGAGCAAACTGCTGTTGCAACTTTGGTGCACCGTATGAGTATTGAGGCAATGAGACTTCTTGGCCGCCATGTGAACCTAAATTGGCTAATTGATAAGAACCACCGTGACCAGACGACTGTAAGGAAATTGCTCCAGAATTTATACCCTGCGATATTTGACTCATCAATTGTGAAAGATCATTGCCAACTAAAGAACCGTGGCTTGGCTGCAACGTAATGGGAGCAAGTTGTAACGTGTTGTGCCCACCCGAAGGTAAGCTCTCTGATGATAACTGGTATCCTGATCCTGAGGCTTGCGCGCCGAAGCTATAGCTAGGCTTCGCTCCGCCTATGCTGTAGCCTGCACCAACGCTGATTGCACTCGCATCTTCATGGCCGTATGCTGGAGACTGATAGCTCTGCGAATGACCCGCACCGGGATATCCTCCTAACGTCTCCCTTTTATCCTTTGGATCATCTGCTTTCGCCTTTATAGCAATCGACATTGAAACACACAGAAGTGTGGTGAATAAGACCTGAAACAAACGTAAAAATAATTTAAATAATAAGCTTCATTTCAGTTCCTGGCACTTATAAACAAATTTGTATAATTTACTTCCGTTAGCGCACATCGCGTGCGGAGAGTTTACAAACAAGTTTCCCACTACACTAAAGCGACGACCCGCATGACGCACTTTAAGATTAAAGCCTGCATTATAAGTTTAATTTCACTTTTGCCGCTTTTACTTGCAGCAAAAAATTACACCTGCTTTGGTAGTGTCATTGCACATACATATATGCAAAATAACACTAACTACATATTTAATTGTAGTTGATGATATACTTTTACAACTTTATAACACGTAGTATGGAAGTTCGTTAATTATAATCAATATAAGTTAAATCATAACAAGAAAATCATCAAGGCTGTACGGAAACTCATCTGCATTCTTAAAGCAATAACCTTTTTTGTTTAATTTTCCATTAGTCACTTTTGCGGATTTACAATATTTATTTAAATTATCATCACTGTGCGTACACTCACCGTGAATTTCATTTTGGAACGCTTATTTGGAACCCTAGTCACGTTTATGAAACTAAGTCACTATACTGGCGGATTTTTTTTTTCACAACACAAAAGTGTCTATTTATAAGAGGCACTGATCGAACGACTGCTCGGTACAGCCGCCGAATTCGGAATGTGATGTCGCCGTGTTTTCACCGAATTTATAAGACGGCACTGTGCAGGCGCCCGTCTTCTACTCGGGCGCCATCGGGAGGGTAAAAGTATATCAGGGTACCCTTTCACTGAACCGGCTGAAAGAATGGGAGCGAGCTATCAGGCTTCCAAGCCCAAGAATGAGGTAATACTTTAAAACCGGAAGTATTGCATCACAATTTGAACACGGTTTGGTGCGGCTACCAACTCGGATGTCGATGTCGTTCAGACGCATTCTAACCACACAGCGATAACTTATTGATTTTGCGCCAGTTTTGAATCTCGTATGTTATTAAGGTTAAGAACATCTTTAGCGCTGTTTATGTTACATTAGTCAGTAAAATAACATTCGAGCTGAGATTATAGTGTACTGTACACACTGAGGTAGCGTAATACTTCATGGGTGTTATTAAATCGAATCACGTATCGAAAAACTTCCTTTATTTATAATAAAAACTGGACCAACAAGTGAAGTTTCAATGTGCGCTGAATTTTTGAGATGTAAATGCACTTTCATTGTATCGGCATGTTTGTTGACATCATGATGCGCGTGCCTCGCAACGTAAGAGTGCCTTTTGTGTTCGGAACAATTGCTGTAATATTTATCCATGTATGGCCTGTGATGTCACCTTATGTTAACTACGTAATATATTACAATACCATAATCATACATTCTCAAAATTTAACCTCTGCTTTTTAATTACGATATTAGATGAACAGTTTTACTTTATACAAATATTTATTCTATGACAATTAAAGACAAGTACAACTTTAGTATTAGTTTCGGTCAGTATCAAACATATCAATCAACATATACGTTGTGACTTACGGCTTAGTTAATTACAAGTATTTTTTTGTGCAAAACATTAAATTATTATGCTTCTGAATTTTTGCCAAAACTTATTCATTATGATCATAAATCCTGCGGAACGATTATGAAACATGTGCATTGCTTTTGGATTATCTACTATTTTTAAAAAGGATTAAAGAGGTGCATCGGATAATGAGCGGATCATTATGCCTTTTTACATAATTAATATACAACAGATATATAACAGATTCTTGTGATTCAAGCCCGATGGTGCCAACACTACACAGTGAAAGTTAATTGTGTGCATTTTTTATTTTATTTTTCCATTTAGTTGTGTGTATGTGCTATTGTTCAGATATTGCTATTGAATCATTTTTATTACATAACGTTATTGTGTTCATATATTCGATAACAATTGTTTCGATATAAAATAGTATATAACGAATTTTGATGAGAGTATATCTAACCGGAATCTTTTTAAACCGGTATATTATTTCGGTATAATAGTATTGTCATATATAATAATATTTCAGTCTATTAAAGTATCGATCGTATTGAATGTAGATCTACTGTATTTCAAGGAAGATCTACTGTATTGGGTATGTGATATTATTGCGTAATGCAAATGACTTGGTATTAAAATAATTTCCAAAGTTACTAAATGAAACTATGTTTACGGATTTATCGCGTTTATTTTGATTTTGATACCCTTTACAGAGTTCATGGTCACGGGACAGACTGAGGCGTTGGACGTCTGAATGTCATTGTTAATCCGGGCTACCGCCAGGTTTTTAATCATTAATTTTTGTGTTGATCTATGCAGAACATGCCAATTTTATCTTGTCTTGCAATAGTGGTTAGTTTTGGCTTATTTTTTTTGTATCGGGGGGGAAATCTTGGAAAGATTTCATTACAGGGTTACGTGGGGTTCTTACCCACTAAAATCCCCTCGGTGGCCACCTTCCGTACATTGGGATGGACTCCGGGTTAGTTTGGGTCTAGATTTAATTTGATTAATAATAGGATCCCAAGCCGATGGTAAAACCCAACCTTCTTCTCTTTTGAAATTTGCGTGTTTTTTTAATTTAAATAGAATAGTTTTCCAATTTATTTTTTAGAACTTGCTGAAAACTACTCGCTGCTCAATTCTCAAATTGATTGAACAATATTAAATATAGTATATTAGTTTGAGTTGTAAAGTTGCGACGGATGTTTACGTCCTACGAACGGAAAAGATTGAGGACGCAGATTATGTTATTATATATTATGTTACTCCATCGTTTGCTAGTGTTTAATTAACCTCCGTGAAGTAATCTCGCTAGTGTAGGCCTTTTTATTCCTTTTGGTTCAAATGTGTTTTTGCGGTGAATGTAAAAGTGTTACGTAAATGATGTAGTTCCGGAGCTTAATGCGGTTGTTGTGGTCCCTGGAGGCAGTTTCTCAGGGTAAAATGTGGACTTTAACAATAAACGAATGGACTGTTTTGTATTGCAACATAAAATGGAAATGGTCATTAAATTTATAATTATGGAAATGAAAATTTCAGAACCCAGTGTAGATGTGAAATATCCCCCAATCTCTCGTTTATTTATCCGTGTATGTATGCATGTCAATATTTATGTAGATAACATTGGTAATAATAGTGTAAATCAATCTATCCGGAGTTCGAATGCAATAAGTACCTATTATGCACAAATGAGTCTGAGTTTTCTGGCTTTTAAAGCCAAGTTTTACTTTCGCATAAGATGAACCATATTCTTAAGTTCCGTATTTAATTCGGTAACATCAATGTAGCTACTATTGACTCTTAAGTTATGACCATTAACGTCTGCAACACCCGTAGGCACCGCCTACTGGCGGTTGGCCCGCAGTCTGAAAGCAGACCCCCGCGAATCTGTACCGCCGTTAGTTAGACCTAATAGCGCTTCAGTAGCCCTAGATGACTCCGAAAAAGCCGACTGCCTTGCGGACAACCTAGAGCAGCAATGTACGCCATCGCGCGATCACACCGATACAGTCTACCTAACGGAGGTGGACCGCGTAATCGAAACTAGGGCTGCGCTTCCACCAGAAGGCGATCCTTTGAATTCAGTGACCCCCGAAGAGGTTCAAGACATTATTACAAATTTAAAACCCAAATCCACCCCGGGCCCAGGCAATATTAGTAATAAAATTCTTAAAGCTCTCCCTGGGCCGCTTATCTATTTACTGGCAACCATTTACAACACCTTACTCTCCAGTTGCTCCTTTCCGGACGACTGGAAAGAAGCCACGGTTATCGGCATTCGCAAACCGAATAAACCAGCCAATCACCCCTCAAGTTATCGTCCCATCAGCCTCCTCAGTTGCCTGGGGAAGCTCTACGAGCGGCTATTATTAAATAGGCTCAAGGAGCACGTATTTTCCAACGGCCTTCTGCCAGCGGAACAATTCGGCTTTCGAGCTAGACATTCCTGTCCCGCCCAATTATACCGCCTAACGGAACACATCCTGAAAGGCTTATATCATCCGAAACATATTAGCACGGGGGTTCTTTTCTTCGATGTCGCAAAGGCATTCGCTAAAGTCTGGCACAACGGTTAACAAACTTTAAAGTAATATATAAAAGAAGGAAAAAATCGTGAAGCAGAGCGAACACTTTCGTTATAACCACTGGTTACCGTAATGTCCGACAATTTATCAATTATTGAACAAATACAAATAAAACTGCCGGTTCGCTGAGTGGAAAAGTAGAACTCCCAAACTGATTCTTTGCGTTTTTGTTACATAAATTCTGCCAACGTGAGTTGCGGTGGGATGTCCGGCCTAAATTTTCACTTTTATTCTTTGGCATTCGTTCGCCTAACAACTAAAATGATTCACACCCATCAATGAGAAAGTGGATCCTATGTTACAAACGTTGATTCATGTTTGATAAAGTAAGCTATTATCATATTGTTAAGCAAATTAAGATATTGTATTACTATCATATAAGTATTAACTCTTTAACATACGCAAAAGTTTAATTTAAATGAATACAAAATTAAATTCTAAATATTACTTAATGACTTCATATTTTTTTATAATAAATTTCATATTTCTTTTACATTGTAAAATATATTTTTTTACTTTATTTCATTTTTTTAAAATAATTATAATTCAGTTTTAGTTAAAAAAAAACACAAATTTTCTGTTACAATTCTATCTGCAAAATTTGGCAAAGGTATTGAGTTTACTTATAAATGGAATTAATAACACATAAGAAAAAATTAAAAAGGCTACGATTATTGGTTTTCAAGTCGGTAGCAATAATTTCTCAGATTAAAATAATTAAAATAATTCACTCGTGAGTGAATTCAAAAATCCTCGGTACACCTCTACTACCTTAAACTATACTTTCCTATTAACAGCAGTTCCGTGAAGCCGTCGACCGAATGGGTTATCCATTCTTCATAGTCGGACACTCTTGGCAGAGTGGTCGTGGCTATCGGTGGACA